AGTTTTAAGTTGACGAAGTTAGTGGAGGGGAAAAAAAATCTTCGGAGTTGTTCTCATTGTTTTCAAGATGTTCTTGATCTTTATCCTTTGTGGCTTCATTCGCTGCGGATTCCATCGTCTTCATTGACATTGTCGAGTCAATCAAACATAATAGTACCTTGCCTTTAATTGTTACCAATAAAAAATTCTTGTCTCGTCTTCCAAATTAATTTCAATTCTTTTTATTCGCTAAATAATTATGTTTAAATCACTTGTTTGATAATAAGGAATTGGAAATTTTATGCATACCGAGATTAATTATCATTTTAGTGGTTATCTCATTGACAATTTTATACATATACAACATTTTAATTTTCTTCTTTTGATACAACGTCATGCATAGTTCAAAGTTCAAAGAGACGCTTGCAAAGAGAAAATCTTGTATCTTCTTTTCCCCGATCAGGTATCTTTCCTCAGTAAAGCTTTCGCAGAGCTTTCTCAAGCAACTGCCGATATACTTCATCCCGGTTTTTCTCAGATTTTTTGTTATTGCCAATTCGCATAATCGATAATGTCATTCAACGTGTGTTCGCGTTCATTTTGAAGATACGAGAAGAAGGCAATTGCGACTTGAATTTCTTCTAAATTAAAGTGGATATGCTCGCAGAAAAGTAGAAGTAAAAGAGAATTTTAAAAATTTGTAAAAAATTGTTTCAAATGAGAACTGAAAAATACAAAGTTTATATGTATAGTATAAAATAGATTATAATGTGGGAGGAATATAATTAGACGAATTGAGTTAAAAAAAAAATCTCGTTTTATGTAATAGTCTTCATTCTCACTGGAATAAATTAAATTATAGATATAAAAGATATATTTAACAATTATATACGCAACGACTGTAAATTGCGAGTAAGTGCATTTAATCAGCAGAAAGTTAATTTTAAATCGGTACTTTTAAACAATTATCATTTGCATGTTATAGTTTATATAAATATATACATAAATATTTTCGAATAGAGTTAGACTATAGAGAATCACATTGAAATATAATTTGTCCAGAGACCGAGATAAAAAGTTATGCAGAAGCGCGTGCATTAATACAATACCTTCCATTTGTCGATTTTGCCGAGCCGAGAACTCTCGTTTAAGTGCACAACCGCGAGCGGCCAGCGCAATCGCGAGGCGTCGAGGAGCGGTTGCACGTCGTCGGTTCGTGCGCGATGCAGTTTATGATAATATTTAATCCGGTTACGGCGAGACGAGTGTACGTGGGGCGCGAGCACACACTCGGGGGGGCGCACGAGCTCTCGGACGTGGTGCGGTCGGCGCGGCCAGTCGATGATTCCGTTCCGACTGTGTGTCGTCGTGTGTGACGACGTAATCCAGTTACAAGTCCGAGCTGACCGACGCTACGTTAGTCCGCGCAATCCCGATCGTTTCGAGTAATTTTTTTATTTTTTTTTTACGAGTTCGTACGCGGGGTTACGGTCGAGATAATCGGTGCACGCGATCAATCTTCTATCGCGAGTGTGCCACGATCATGCCCGCGGGGTGATTTTGTCGAGCGGATTTTAACGCGCCGCGCGTCCCCGCGTTTTAACACGAATTGCCCGACCGACGTCGACGGCCACACCGCGCGCTCGTCGGCCCGATATGTCATTCATTCATCCGCATTGCACGCCGATGTCATTCATCGAACAGTTTCCTGGCGCCGACCGGTAACCGCCGTTGCGTCGTATCGGTTGATCGTTTCCCGTTGATCGTCCGCGACGGTTGTGCATCCCTTGAGTACCGGACGGGGGGGAGGGGAGGGGATAGAGTAGAGTTCCTGTTCGCTGCACGATCTGATCGTAACGTTATACTCTCGTCAAAGTGTCGTATATCTGGTATCCTACATCGCGGAGGTCTGGCCATCGTTGGTGTATCGCGAAATATCGAAGCTTCCGCCATATCGTTCCCCCATTACAGCCAGTTGACCGTTTCCCTCGGTGGTTACGCGAAACTGAATTACGAATTACCGGGGGCATCTCGAGAGCGTCATTTGGAGAGTATTATATACTGTACACTTGTGCGGTTACAAACATCTAAAGATCATAGGTCGTCGTGCATGGTCATGCATTATAGATTTGAATATCGTATTGGTTCGGAACATTAAAGTTGCTGCATTCTTCATCAGCTTGTATTCATCGCGTCACATTGATCTTCGTCTTTTCGCGATATCGTCGTCACAGATTATATATATATATATATATATATATATATATATATTTATATACATATATACTGCGAGATTGAACTGCCTGGAAGCATAATAAGACTGTTGTGTACAATATTGTGCGTTCGTATTATGCATTTAGACATTCCAGAGATATTGCGCCTGCGTTATACGGTATATATACACACAGCATCATAGATCTCCGAAGAGCGTAGGTAGAAATATATATCAAAGCCGCTGCGTTAAGTTACCGCCTTGCATAAAGTTGCTTCATTATCGCTCTCCTTCCTCGTGTGCAGAGATAATCAGAGAGTGTACGCGTGTACGTTGAAACATTAAGTGCCACGAGCCACAAGCGCCACGATCCCCCGTGAACCTTGCACGCAGTTGTGTGTGATATCTATATATAGGGTATATTAAAACTTTGCTAATCGCGAGCGCGCGCTACGCTCCCATCGTTCCAATTCTCCGGAGCTGTCACGGTGATATTGCAGAATTCGGCAAGTGCCAGTTCACGACGAGCCCCTCGATCTTCCTTTCCACGAAGATTCGGCATCCGCGGGGTGGATCCGCGACGTGAAGGGATAATCCGCATTTCGCTTCGAAACCCCGAGGAATTAAAAAGACCTATATCGTCCTCAGTTCTACGTCCAACGGCAGTTTAGAACTCGATACACAATCCCTCCCTTGTTTTGACGACCGTAAGAGAAACGACGTCTGTAGAATCGTGACCCCGAGGGTGAAGGGAAGAGACAAGCTGCGAACTATACTGAGTGGAGAGACGGAGGAGCGAGCGAAGGGGGAAGGAACGTACATATAAGGAATTCAAATATCGTTTCGATCGATTGGCTAAGCTGGTGAGACGTTTCGCAGCTTCCCCTTCAAGTTCTCTCGAGCGATTGACACACACACACACACACACACACACACACATACAGATACAACACACACACACAGATACAATACACACGTATACGCAATACGGATCGTATATAGGCTTTACGAAAATTCGCAGAACCGTGATGTATAAGTGGCAAGAGGCAGTAAACGGTAACGTGAACGATCGTCCCTACAACTGGACGATCTGATCGCCGTACGAGGGATCGGTCGATCGAAGTGGTTTGTTAGATCGCGCCCGAGGTGTGTTCCCGTGGGTCGATTCGTTCGCGCGAGTGATTCACGGGGGTGAAGCGTCGCGGTAACGAAGGATGGAGAGGAATCGGAGGAACGCGAGGTCGCACAAACGTGGAAGGACAGGATTTGCGTATCCGTGCGTTTCCTCTTGAGAGGCGCGCGCGACGTGCCTCCGTACGTATATATCCGCGCGTTAAACACGAGCGCGCCGATTGATCACGAATCAGCAAACACAGGGCGCCGTCGGTGATGTTTGCCGAGCGATGGGGAGACGTGCGTAATATAAGTTTGCCAATCAACGCGCGGGAGAGTACGCGGAACGTGCGAGCGCATTTCTCGCGCGAGCGGATTCCCAAGTCGCCAGATAACAGCTATCGATTGGCGAGGCATCGTCGAACCGTCGAAAATCCCTCGACGGGACACCCGCCGACGTGCGAAGGTATCGAAAATCGAAAAGTATCCCCGTCACACGAAGGGGGACGGAAAGTTTATCCCGTTCGGCTTTTATTCAATCGTACATCTTACACTATTTAATCGAATATCCGTTCGAGTAATCCGGGGGCATTGTGTGTGGAAATCCCACTGGGAAGAGAGAGAGAGAGTGGAGAAGTGACTGTATCACGGAGAGCCGAGGAATTAGAAGTCAAGGAAGATCGACGAAGTCGTGGAAGCGGCGATCGATATACGATCGGTCGACCTGCTCGAAGATTTTGGCCAAACGGCAAAGGGGAATTTCCGGGATCACGGCGGTCAATCGTCGTGATCGATCGAGGCTTTTTTAAAACGTCGCGCGCGGAACGGAGCGCGCGACGACGTGTCGAGGAGAAGCATCGGAGGCGAGCGAGAGTCACCCCGGCAGGACCATCAGCGGGAAAAGTGGAAGAGGGCGGAGGCGGGAGATCACGTACGCTTGTATTTTTGCCCTCGCGGGAAATCAGCGACCGGTGGAGCGGAGCTGTCGGAGAGTACAAAGGATAGCGGGACAACGTTGTCGCTCTTTGTCACGGCGGTCGGCAAATTGATAACGAGTCGATCGTCACGCCCTGCGGAAACGAGCCTCGTCTGAACGAAGAAAGGGGGAAGAGGAGTCTAGGAGCGCGCTCTCCTCACCGAGACGCTTCGCGAAAATCGTAAGGCTCTTTCTCCCCGGCGGCATTCACCGACGCTCGTTTCAACCACACGCCCGGGAATTATCCTCGAGCTTCATGGCAGTTCTATCGGCGTGTCTCCCCGCGTCGCTCGCCGCTGATCAAAAGAACAGCTCGGTCATCGTACGAACGTGCGGCGAAGAAAGGAGCGGCGCTCGCTTCTGAAAATAGAACTGTGAAGACGTCGTGGTTTCGCGACAGAAAAGCGTTGGTCCCCGCCCTGTGAGGCGATTCGAAATATCGGAGAGACAAGGTGGCCGAGAGGCGAATTTCCGAGAGAGCGGAAAGTAACGGTGAACGAAAGAAACCGACGAAACGCGGCGGACGCCACGAGAAAGGATATAATTCAACGAAAGAGATCTGTCCTCTCCGCTCCGCTCACCTCTTTCGCTCACTCGGAAACTTTCGGCGCGCCGCCTTTCACGGTGGCTTAGGGATATCAACGAAGGATCCAGGATGTGCCTCGGCCTCATCCGCGAGATTGTCAGGAGTATCAGACCCTTTATCGGGAACAGGGAGAAATGAAGTTATCAGTGTCAGCTTACACAGCTCAGGCCAGTGCTCACAAGAATCTCTGCAGCTATCAGCAACAGCGGAGCTACGGAGCCACGAATCAGGCCCGGACCCCCTCAGACCTCGCGACGGTCCTTCCTGCCCTCAAGGTTTGTATACCGATGGCAACTTCTCTCTCGTTGTTTCCTTAATCGAAGTTTCCTTAATCGGTGTATCGCAGAGATAACGATACTTGTAACTTCTTCCTTTGGCCATATAAAGTTTTCACAATCCTCCTTTACGATCGTTAAAAAATTTAATGCGAAATAGATCCCCTCGGGTACTGTCTTTTATCTACGGATTCCTTGATCAATTTGTGTGGAGTCGTTTATTTTTTCCTTTCCTAACGCGATATACAGTAATCGAGTGAAGAGTGAAATGGTGGTAGGTAGTGACGAAGCCTTACTACGATTATATGTTACACTTCGCTTCTCTTACTTTTCCGTTAATGTGGGCCGTGATGCATGCACGTTGTGAGAGAATAGCTCGAAGTTAGATAGAGGGTGTTCAAGAACTGTATACTGAATATTTCTAAACTATCGTTTTCAATGTTTCCTCAACAAAAATATCTAGACAAATCATTATTTAGTATATACCTTTCCGTTTTTAACGTTATATATATCTATATTTTTGTACTTAAACTTTGAATTAAACTTTTGTAGAAGTGGAATCAATTAAGAATGCCACTTATTTTCTCTTGTGCAATTTAATTTACTGGCAGTAGTTTGTCAATTATTTTTAATTATTAATTGCTCGAAAACGATATCTTTATTTAAGAAATATTCTCAAGAGCGAGAGATTTTAAAGATTTTAAATTTGCTACATAATTTGTAAAGATTTTAAAAGAAAAATCCAATGATTTTAACATATTGTTTGCAATAGTTCAATATTTTACACTAATCGATACAATTTCCGATAGTTAACACTCTGCACAACGTTCGTACGTACTTTCACGTACGATTTACAGAGTTTACTATATTACTCGCTGGAAACTATAGTGAAACATTAGATGTACTACATTATGGTAGATTTAATCTCTAGTTAATTGCTGAAATTTCGTGAGCTAATTTAACCAGCAGTTCAGTTTCAATTAGCACTAATTATCGTTAAAGAAATACGGAATATTTTGATTCAAAATGATTGGATTTTATTGTTAATCAGAGATTAATCGATAACTATCGGTTTTAATTCAGGGATGTATTTAATTTGGACAGTGTTATGTAAAAATGAGTTAACTAAAGACGTATCAAATTACGTCGAATACATTCAATCTCAAATTTGATAGGCCGTGAAAAATAAAAGATTAAATCAACAATTCACATGCGCTCTTTCTTAAAGTATAAAAATGATATGATATCTTTGTTGTGTTTTATCTTAAAAAAAAAAAACACAAATTTTATTAACAAAATTTAATTTATTCATATTTATATACAGAGAAAGAGGGGGAATAATAACTCTTTATAATATATTGTAACGCTGAGAAATATTATCCTGCAGTCATAAACACGAGGAGAGGTAATAACCATAAATACTTAAAATACAAAGCGTGCCACCAACAGAGAAAGTAATGAAAAACTAAAGCGATATTGTTTATAGAAGAACGCGAACACGTATTTTTCGGATAAGCGCGTTCTTGTACTAAATGTCGCACTTTCATTTCTATAGACGATATACAGTGTTGAATGTTATCTCAATCATCTTCTCCATGAAATGCAGAATATGGTCAGCTCGGGTGTTTGCATAATCGATCCCCTTCAAAATTTCCTTCAAGTTAACTCATCTCTGCATACAATACCGTCTATTTTACGTTGTCTAATTGCGTGTGGTATAAATTCATATTGTTTCTTCTATGTGAACGCAGCTCTGAATGTCGCAACGTAGGGGCGAGAACGCGCGGTCGAAAAAACGGCGCAGTAGAAAATGTCGAAAAGACAGCCGGTGGTTCGTATCTCGCTTCCCGTAAGTGTCACTAGATACTCTTTGGAGGAAAATTATATATTGTGCCTGGAAAGTACACATATCTCTCTATATCCGATTGCTTTTACTCTATATACTGTCTGACCTATATATTATCGCACGAACGCGTCCAAAGTATTCCCAGCAGGCTGCTCTATCTCTATCAGCAACTCTTGTTTCATTTTCTTCTCTCTACTATCTGCGACTCTCACTATCCGAGGCTCATTTTAAACGATCTATAATTTCGCGACGACAACCCGCTCCGTTTCGACAATTACAGATCGCATTAATGTGAGCATGAAAACCTATACTTGCGTAGAAATTGCGTAGAAATTCCTGAGTATAAGAGTTTGTCGTCGTTTTACCATGTCTTGTACGATATATTTGATTATGGAGATTTGTCCATTTTACGTCGTCCTGTTTGCTTGATTTGTATATCCTACATGGTACTTGTGTGACGTAGAGATCCTCTGTTTCAACCCCCTCGTCTACTTAGAAATAGCGTAGTAGAAATGTCTCGTACTGTGTCTCGGTAAGTACACAAGGAGTCGTCTAGTTCGCCGAGTATCGCACATTAATCCAGTTTCACAGCGCTTTCATTTTTACAGTGATATTTCTCCGAACGTATATATACACACCTTTTTACTAGAACTCTCTCTTTCACTGAGATTTAAATTTCTCTTATACTCTCTGATCTGAGACTAGCGCCCTTTTGTTGCGTATACCCCCTATACATGTATAACACAAGACTGCTATAATTAATTGCACCGTGTCTCAGTATGTCTGCAACTAATTTGTATCGCTGGAATGTTTGCTATCGTGCGGTTCGACGCGCGTAGAGGAACATGTCTCGGAATGCCGTGGTGCAATATTATTTCGAACAGAGAGCTGTTATTTTAAGCGTATGCACCTTGGTTAATCAACATTTCCGAGCGACGGAGTACAAATATGTATTAACCCTTAATTTCACATTGCATCTTGTAAAGCGCAATTCATATATGAAATGGGTTTCAACGGCATTATTGGGATACGCGAACACGGAGTGCAGAAGCAACTCCCTGTTATTGTCTTTTTGTTATCCCGTTACCTTGACCCAAATATTTCGAGTTAGTCGAAATTTAAACAACAATATAGTAGGTAATCCATGTAACTTTCTAGACCAGAAACACTACTTTCGAGATACAGTACCATCGAAACTTCGATGTTTCTCTTTCGCTAGTAAAGATAAGTCAAAAATATTTTTCAATTTACTTCGGAAATAATGATAACTTTGTTTACATTGACTTCGATCAGTTTAACTGTTTGTACAGCTGTACCGAGGACTTTAAAGATTTCACACATTGTTATATTTGATGAGGGAGAAAGATAATAATTCAGAATTCAAAATTTTAATCGGCACAACTTCTCCTCAATTCCCTTTATATTTATACTTTCCGTAGGAAGATCGTCGAAAGAAATAAAAATAGTATATATTTTCGAAATAACGAAGAAAATTCTTTTAATAATATGATTAATTTATTATCTTGTTAATGGAATGGAGATTAATTACACTTTGTAATTAATAAAAATATGATTAACCTGTTATCTTGTTAATGGAATGCAGGTTAATTACACTCTGCAATTAAACAAACAGTTTTCGTATTTAAAGGTCAATTATATGATGGAGGATAGAACTTTAGTGAGCTCGAGTCTCTGCGGTAATAAAGAACGGCTAGCAAAAACCTTCCATTTTACTTCCTTAAAAAGGTAACATCTTGACATATCGCTCTAACTTTTTAACGCCTTAATGAACAACAATTGTGTTATTTGTGGTCTCGTCTCGAGACATGTCAAATGTGGTTGCACAAATACAATCACGTGCGAGATAAAACGCGCGTTAGTTTACAGAAATCGAATCAATTGGCGAACGAGCATCTATTGTGGTTCTCCGCAGCGTGAAATTTGCTAATCTAAGAGGGACAAAAAAAATATTTATAAAAAAGGTGCCGCGTCTTCAATCTACGCAACGACGAACCATCTCTTGATTATTTTTTTTTCGATCTTGTTTCTCTAGCTTGTTTCCAATCGGGACGTGCATTTGCATAAACAGAGTGCGCGATCCCGATTGCACAGCAGACCAAGAATACACGTGGCCGCAGTAACCCGATAAAGAAATCCGGACATTGCGCCAGAATGGACGCTGATAATCGATAGCGCGTTACATCTGGGTGTGCGGTTGATTGGATTGGAAACGGGTGTATCGGCGAGTGTATATCGCGAGCACGGGACACGTCTCGCTTGGCGGGAAGCGAATACTGGATAAATTAATGCCGCAAGCCGCACACCCGGAGCTTCCCGTGCCGTGCGCTCTTCTCTCTCTCTCGTGCCGTGCACTCTTTAACCTTCCCGTTAATGTACCGCTCTCCAGAAATAAAGATGTCACGCGCGGTTCGCGCGCACAGAGCGCACCCCAATTACCGCTGATTGCCCTTCGAACGTTCGCGCACAAAGTGCCCCTGCGGGACGGACGTTTCGAGAGAATCGGGACAAGCGGTTCGCGTTATACGTCGCGTGACACGAACGATGCCACTTTAATTACGCGTATATATGTTACCAGCCGGAACAAGAGTGCAACGCGGTGCGTTACGTTCGATACACGCTCGCTCGCTTGGAAAAAGCCCTACGACTGTATCGCACGACGGTGACACCGGCCCTGTCTGGACGGGAAACGATACGCGGAATTGAGTAAAAGATATACTTTTAACATTTTCATACACGGAAAGAACAATTTTGCTGAATCCAGATCTGAAATATAATTTTTGTTCAATAATCAAAATAATTTTGTGTAAAAGTCAAAGTGATTACTAAAATATCAAAACATATTATAACAATACTTATCAGTTTTAACATTCCAACAAATTATTTTGATGATTCAACAAAAAATTATTTTCAGATCTGTTTTTAGCAAAATTTTTAGATCTTTCAAAATTTCAACAAAATCGTCCTTTCCATGTAACGGGCAATTTTTTTCTCTTGCGTTTTGAGAGCAAAATATCTTTTTGCGCATGTAAAAGCGTGAAAGTAGTGTTTTCGAGATAACGAAGAAAATCCTTTTAATAAAATATCATTAACTCACTATCTTGTTAATGGAGTGGAGGTTAATTGCAGTTTGTAA